CAAGACAAGGGAGGGGTCAGCGGCAGCTGGGGGTCTGGGGCAGGGGCCCGCGACCTGAGTGAGCCGCACCAGCGCCCGCCCTCACCATGTTGGGTCCTGTCCAGTACAGGAAGAAGCCATTGGAGTCCACGCGCAGGGTCACCAGGTTCCGACTGGAGGCCTCCTGGGGAAGGGATGGCACAATAGGGGTCAAGGGGTGAGGGCTGCAGCCCAGGCTTGGTCACCGGGGCAGTTTTCTGACAGTGAGCAAAGACGCAACCTCGCCCAGCCCGAGGTCCTTCGTGGCCCCCTGCCGTCCTCCGGACAAAGCCGAGGTCCTGGGGGTGTCCTCTGGGGTCCCGACACCCCTCCCAGTGTCACCTCTCTCTCAACTCAGACTCTGTCACGTGGACTACCTTTTCCCCACTTCCAGCTTCTGCGTCATTGTTCCTTCGCTAAGATATCCTTTCCTTCCTTCTCTACCCGTGAAATCTGACCCACCCGCATGGGGAGGCCTCCTGGACCCCAACCTCAGGCTTGATTTCCCCAGAAGCCTGAGAGCTCCCTGAAGCTGCGCAGCCCCATTGGGAATATTAATGGGATGAAAGCAGAGGGTTCGGAAACCTGACCCCCACAGCCCTAGGGACCCCAAGACGACCAGCCAGCCCTCACATCTGCCTTAAAGTCCATTACCCACTCCCATCTTACACGGCACAGACCGAGTAACTGGCGCGGGGGACTTGCCCCGCCCTCAGCACCGGAGCGAAGTCTGTCCTCCCTCAGCCCTGCAGGGGCAGGGAAGGGTGTGCTGGCCCCGTTTTCTGAGGAGGGCCTGGGCCCTGGCACACACCCAGGGCCACCCTAGGCAACTGAGGACAGCAGCCAGAGAGGGCGGTCAAGAGGGACTTAGACTTGGCCAGGGCCTGAGCGGCCAAGTGGCCACAGCTAGAACTCTCCTGAGACCCCTCCTCACCTTGGTGTCACCCCCAAACTGCTGCTCGAAGTCTGGCAATCAGATCATCAATAATAAAACAGCTGCCTTCACATCATCCCTACTGTGTGCCAGGGCCACTTCTAAGCACTTAACATCCAGGAGCTCACTCAGTCCGCCTAACACACCCTGCTTGGTAGGCACGATTATTCTTCCCATTTCACAAACGAGCAGACTGAGGCCTGGAGGGGCTGCTTAGCTTGTGAACGGTCAAGAGGAGCCAGGGTTTGCATGCGGCTGTGCGGCTCCAGAGCCCTGGGGCCTGGGAGGCAGGGAAGCAGGGCCCCGCGGAGGCTCCCAGCTCCCGGCCTCAGCTGCAACCCCAGCGAGGGCCTGGGTTCGTCTCCGCTCTCGGGACTCAGTTTCCTCTTCCCGAGACGGGGTTGCACAGCCCCGCCCATCGCAGGCTTTGCTTACAAAGGACAGGAAGTTGATCTGAGGGCAGAGGGTGCAGGGAGCCCTGGAACATGGGGAAGCTTTAGCCTCCTCACCTCATGGTGCTAACAAACACCCTCCGCCCCTCTCGGGGGTTCCTGACCCTGCCCTGGGGCTCAGGACACCCCAATAGTGTCAGAAGGGGGGGAGTTCTGTAGTAACGCCCCCAGGACCCAGCCCTGTCCCTCCCCAGGGTTCTGGCCTTCAAAAGCAGCCCAGGCCCCCTGCTCTTCGGCCCCAAGTCCCTGTCAGCACCCCCACCCCACCCCCAGGGCCCTCTCCCTGTTCCCACTTCCTTATTTGGGTTTATCACACTGGGAGGAAAAAGAGAAACTTTTCCCTTTAGGCCATCTCGGGGAAGGGGTCTCCCCAGGCCCCTGGGGCTTCCAGGCGCCCTCGGTGTGCGGCACACCTGCCGCCTCAGGCCACGCCCCCAGCCCTCCCCCAGCTCCCACGCCTCCCCGCCCCACCCAGCCGGAAAGGAGCCCAGACACTTCCAGGCCTCTGGCCTGGCTGGGTGAGAGCAGCGAGGAAGCGCAGGCAGGCCGGGTGGCGCCCCCGGGGAAGGAGGGGTTCAGGGGGCAGGGAAGGGGGGCCGTGGGGAATGAGGGTGGGGCACAGGACTGGGGCCCGAGCCGCAGGTGACAGCCGAGGCAAGGAAGGTAAAAAGGGGTTTGGATTTATTGGGGTTCAAAGTCCCGATGCTAAGGAGTGGAACGCAAAGTTTCCCTGGGGTGGAGGAAGTTGGGGGGCAAAGTCTCCACTAGGGGGTGACTTGGTGGTACCACCTGAGCTGGGAGCTGGACGGGCAAGGCAGAGGGGTGCCCACCAACATCGGGTGAAAAAGTGATGAATGGAGGAGAATGTTCAGACTAGGGCATGGGGACGCGTAGGGTCCCAGCGGCACCCCCCAGAAGGGAGGTGCACCTGGGCCAGATTGGGGATCGGGGGCCTCGAACCAAAGAGTCCAGTGCGGGGCAAGGGTCTGGGGACCAGCCCAGGGTTGGAGGAACAGGAATTAGATCGGCCAGGAGGGGTAGGAAGGGCGGGTGAAAGGGGGCCGGGATTTATTGGGGTTCGAAGTCTCGGGGCCCAGGAGTGGAAACCACATTTCCCGCAGCTGAGGGGCCGG